ACGAAATATAGCTTCGAAGTGAGGTATAAGCCGGGAAAGCAGAATGCTCTGGCTGACACGCAGACCTGACTATGAGCTTGCTCATGTTACGACTGTAACGTCGTCTGTGACGAACTTGATCCGCACCGCGTATGCGGGTGATGGGATGTGTGTAGCGTTGGTGCGGGCTCTAGGGAGCAAGGATTTTTGAATCTCGGACAACAAATTTTCATCAAGACTGCGTGCACGATTGCACCGATATTCTTTGAATAATGGTTTGCTTCATTATAGCACCGATTCAACGGATACACCACGAATTGTGGTTTCTCATGGTGAGGATTAAAATACCGCTACCTATATGAGGCTCATGACACGCCACTCAGTGGTCATCTCGGTCGTGAGAAAACGTAAACTCTGTGAGTCACCACTATTGGTGGCCCGAACTGTACAAATGGACGAGCACCTATGAGCGCACGTGTGAGACGTGTCAACGGGTGAAACCCTCTCCAAATGCGGCTGCACCGCCGGTCAGCTTACCAGTATTCACTGGGTGGTGGCAGTCAATGAGTTTGGACTTTGTGTTTGGCCTGCCAAAAGATTCGGCGGACAACACAGGGGTCGTGGTATTCATCGACCGGTTAAGCAAGATGGCTCATTTGGCGGCGGTGCCAGACATCATCGACGGTGTTGGTACAGCAACGCTGTTTGTGGACCGTGTTTTTCGACAACACGGACTCCCTAAATCGATTGCCTTTGATAGAGAATCCCGTTTCACGGGAAATTTTGGTCGACTATCTTTAAGATGCTCGGCACCAAGTTAGACATTTCGACGGCGGATTATCCGCAGACCGATGGTCAAACCGAAAGGGTGATTTGCGTCTTCGAAGACGTTCTCGCAGCGTCTGCGCTGAGACGCCAAGGCGATGGGGCGCCATACCGCCACTCGTAGAGGTTGCGCTGAACAATGCAGTGCATTCGTCTACCGGCTACACTCCGCTTTAAGTGAACGGGCTGGTTCACGCTCACGTCTCGATGGTGCCGCCATCACATGGTTCAGAGCTTGGAGGGGAAGGAACGGCTAGCTGATGTCAGCCCCCTCACCATCCGCAAAGAAGTCGATGACTTCTTGT